CTCTCTCTCTCTCTCTCTCTCTCTCTCTCTCTCTCTCTCTCTCTCCATCTGTCTATCTGTCTGTTTGGACGAAACATTAAGGTAATGAGAGGGCACAATGAATAATTGGTCAGAACAGCGACCGGAAAATGAAATTGACATCACGCCCGAAGTAGGAGCTGTAGCAACAGTGAAGAATCCAGCTTGAAGCCCGTTGTCATCGACGGTGGGCGATACTGATCACGGCAAGAATTCGTTGTCTCTCCCGGAAATCGACGTTTTATCGATGCCCTGTCCTCCTCAATCTCCAGCGCATCATCCCTATAGAATCCCATCTGCTCCTCCCAAGTTTGCTGCAGGCTGCCCCTGATAACCAAGAGCGCGATAATCCCACAGCGCCTCCATATCAAGGACCAAGGGGCGATGCCCCGATCAGTCTCATCAGGTATATTGCCGCACCTAGATTTTGCCAGTCAGTCACCCACACATCAACGCCCTGCCCTCCTCAACTCAACTGGATTGCTGACAAATAGTCATAGTCAACCGAAACCGGTGGTGGCCAGGGACCGGCCAGGTACCAGCAGCGTGCCCCACTAGCGCCCCAGCGCTCTTCACTGCGACGACGTCAAGTTTTAGCAACACAGGTCAACAGTTATCGTCAACCCTAACGCGAGCCCCCAACGCCCAGACGCGACCAGGAGCGTCACGTTAGCACTGCATTACCACAGCGCTAACGCGACCTTTTCCCCTTTCACGCAGCTCGCTCATGTCGTTTCGTTTTGCCCCGCGTGTTGATTTGTTGGGTTTTAGTTTTTTCCTTTTTTGTCTTTTTGTTTCGCAATTTATCCTATCAGCGTTGGGCCTTGCTCGCTCCTCTCCTCTCCTCTCCAAAAGTGGAAAATGTGACACTAGAACACGGGAAGATACACCACCATACTTTTTCTGTGCGTGTGCGTCTGGCCTTGCTCGCTTCGCTGCTCTCCAAAGGTGCAAAATGAGACTGGAGGATAAGTTGGGCCTTGCTCGTTCCACTGCAGCTCTCCAAATGTGCAAAAAATGAGACAGAATCCTCCACTAGAACATGGGAAGATACACTGCCATATTTTTTTCTGTGCGTGCGCGCCGGGCCTTGCTCGTTCCGCTACTACTCTCCAAATGTGGAAAATGAGACTGAATCCTCCGTTGGAACATGGGAAAATACACCGCCGTATTTTTTTCTGAGCATGTGGTGAGTGGCAGAGCGAGGCGTTCATCCTTGTGCAGGGGTGATTCTCATGGCCCGAAGCTGTGTATAGGGCCTCGGTCCGCTACTGACCACATGCACATGTATCCCTCCATGTTCTAGCAGAAGATTCATTCCCGGTTTGCATATTTAGTGAGTAGTGGAGCAAGAGGGGCACTGCTCTACTACTCACCACATGCATTGGGCTCAGGGCATGTACCAACTGAGCTTGGCCACTTTTTTTTGTTTGTTTTTTTCCCCAAGGAATCGCCCCATGCGACAGCGTGAGATGCTGGTAGGAACAGTCGCCTCAAGCTCTCCAGGGGTGGCTCCATCTATTGGTGGGGAGCAGCACCTGCTGAGAAGCGGGCCCAGCGTCCCTTATTACAATTGTTCAGTATAAGTTTTATAACATTCACATCAGAACTTTTAGAGCCTGGAAGGGGAGTGACTGTGCAGCCCAATCAAAGGCCAGTAGTGGTGTGCCTACTAGGATGCCTAACATGTTGACTGCCCTTCCATTCTTTTACCGTACTGGCTGAAACTGGGGTGTCTTTGATTATCGATCATAGAGTCCCTCGGCTGCTAAGCCTCGTCAACCTCCCAATCCCTGGATCTGCAGGGTCATAGATGTTTAGACTCCTCTTGGCCCTTCCTTTTCTACCTGTGGCCATTTGCCGGATTGATCCCGGAAGCATGTCCTTCTTGTGTCTTGTCTTTATTGTCGAGGTAATAATCAAATCCTTGGATCTGCTGGCTCGTAGATGTCGAAGCTCCTCTTGGCTCCTCCTTTTTTCCCTGTGGCCATTTGCTGGATTGATCCCAGAAGCGTGTCCTTCTTGCGTCTTGTCTTTGTTGACGAGGTAATAGTCTGTGGGGATCGTCCGTTGCCCGCTGAATGTTGCAGTCGTTCTGCTTACTGGTTTGTGGCATATGAAGGCCTGCAGGGCTACCGTACTCTTTTGTATCTTTCATCCTGCTGCTACTGATTGAGGGCGGGGGATCGGGTGGAACGGGGGGGGAGAGAGCGGAGCAGATGAGTAGACTGGTGGGTCAGAGGCAGGTAGTTGACGGAGGTGAGCGGGTAAGGGTGACGGACTCGGAACAAGGACGAAATTGGATTGCATGTACGGGATTTGGAACTCCTGTAGGGGTTTCCTAATCCATGTGGGCTTAGTGGTCCTCCATGGTTTCCAGGTGATATCAGGTTCGGCATCAACCTCACTGAAGCATTTGAGAGGGTCCTGCCATATCGGTCCGTAAGTGTCCTTGGTGAGCTGTTTAGCCTGTGGCTCCTTCTCGCTTCTGTATTCTTGTTTTGTGGCCTTCTAGGCTTCATGTGTGTGGGCTCTAATCACCTCCTCCAATGCTTGCTGGGCCTGTTGCAGTCCAAAATGGTGGTCCTTTCTCTCAAAGGAGCATCTTGCATGCCAGGCCAGCATTAGCACGTGAAGCCTAGTGTATGACTGCAAACGCTGGCCAATGTTTTAGGATGTGGTCTTTTCTGCCCAGCAATAGTAGGCCCATGTCCCAGGGGATGTGGAAGGCGGTGAGGGAGTGGAAGGCTGCATCCCACCACCACCAAATCTGGGCGACCATTGGGCATGCCAAGAGGCAGTGTTCAAGAGTCGCTCATGCCGGGGGTGATGCTTTGCCACAATAGGAACAGATAGGGGATAACAGCCCTTTCTGCTCCAGGTCAGTTCTGGACACCAGCCAATCCGGTGTGGGGAGGCAACGGTGTAGAATCTGGGCGGCAGGGGTGCTGGGGCCCGTGTCTGTGCTGGTTTTTTTTCTTGTTTTCCTTTATGTGGTGGGAGTGTGCCTGTCAGTAGCATCTGGTCTACAAGGTACGGTGCACCCCGCAGCAGGACATGCTGGAGGAGCACACAACAGAGGAGGGGGAGGGGGAGATGCCAAAAGGGGGGCAGATGCAGGAGTGCGACAGAGAGGAGATGGCAGACAATGCCAAGGAGCAAGGGGAGGAAGGAGGAGTGGGTCTCCGCCGCGCGTGGAGCCACGGCGGGCATCGCCTTGTAAATACTAAAATGTAATAAGAAGTTTAAGAACTACAAAATAAGGTAAAAAAACTTATTATTAATTTATTAAATGATTATTTTGATATTTTGATTTGTTTTTTTTTTTAATCTTTTTTTTTAACCAAAACTGGACAGAGCATACTAGGAGAGGTGATAAGAGCATCCACTCCTAGTATTTCATCCAGTTGCTCCGATCTATTTGTGGGGAGCCGCACCTGCTGGAAAGCGGGTCCAGCATCCCATTTGACAGAAAAGTGACATGAAGAGTTATAGGACAAGGCTTCAGAATACTCTACTGCCGTTCTTTTTACCCCCCCTTACCTCTCTGAAAGGACTACTTTGCAGACACACACACACACACACACAGAGAGAGAGAGAGAGAGAGAGAGAGAGAGAGAGAGAGAGAGAGAGAGAGAGAGAGGTGCAAGGAACCATGCAATGAGAACACTAATGAACCAGACAAGTAGAGCCAGTGTGGCTACGCCTGCACACATGGAAATATCAATGAGCTATTTGGGCCCTACATCTCTCTCTCTCTCTCTCTCTCTCTCTCTCTCTCTCTCTCTCTCTCTCTCTCTCTCTCTCTCTC